AGCCAAGTCGGGGAAGATGGAGGAGAGCACCCTGTCGCATATCTCAGCAGAAAGTTGTTACCCAGAGAAGTGAGTTATGCGGCAGTGGAGAAGGAGTGCTTGGCCTTGGTCTGGGCATTGAAAAAGTTAAGTCCCTATTTGTATGGGCAAGAGTTTTCCCTTGTGACTGATCACAACCCACTCGTTTTGCTTAACCGGGTCTCAGGAGATAATGGGAGACTACAGAGATGGAGCTTGGCATTGCAGCCCTACAATTTTACCACCAGCTACAGACCTGGTAAGCTGAACGGGAATGCAGATGGGTTATCACGACAAACAGACGTCTCCACCACCTCTTAGTCCGGGCATCCCCAAGTTGACCCGCCACAGGGTCAAGCCGGGTCTGCCGGAGTGTCCCACAAGGAGGGAGCTGTGTGACAGAACCATCTGTCTGCTTATTTTAGTTGCATTCGTCTGTTTGAATCCTGTTCGTATGAATGGCTGTTTTCTATAGCCCAGCCATTCGAATGACTCTTTTTCCCGAACAAACCTGCCAAAAGGACGGCCACCCAGGAGAGAAGTGTGCTGCTGGTTAACCTATTGATCCCAATTAGAACGTTGTGGTTAACCGCAGACACTTCTCAATTAAACCGAATTCAGGGTGGTCGTCGTTCGTATGTCGACCACGAGGCAGCGGCCATTTTAAACCACGCGAAAGCCCAGCGGTGTTTGGCTCTATTTCTATGGAACTAAAAACGGACACTTTTTCTGCCGAACACCGCTGAAACAACGGAACGCCTGGCTGTCTCCACGAAAGCATACGAATACCGGCTGTTCGGGAGGTTTGGAGCATACGAAAAGACTTAACCCAGATAGCCTTCCTATGGAGTCATTCGTATACCGAAAGACTGTAAGAACTTTGACTCCATGGCGATTGAACTATGTGTGTGGGATCTGAGCGCTATTCGCTAACAATATGCACTCAGATCCAGGCTATCTGGGGATATGTGATATGAATGGGAAATGTTCGGTTATTTGAAAGTTATGCATTTCTATGTCTTTTATGATTTTATATTTAAAATGGCGACTGGCTTTGTCCTGGAGATAATTGAGTTACTTGGTAATTATCTCCAGGGCAGAGGGGAGGGAATCATAATGCACTGTGGGTAAAATCTGTGACTGTGTGTCTGGAATGTCCCATATCTGTCTGTCATTTAAGTTTCCCATTTGGTCCCCTAGGGGAGTGTCCACCAAGTGGGAGACCTGCATAAATACGGGCAGGTAGCCCACAGTAAAGCCAGATCCTGTTTGACCCTCAATGCGGAGCTTCTGTCTCGTTATTGGGGGGATTTCTTCTTCACGTTTAGAGACTGCTGGATGGAAACGAAAGCCGCTTGGTGGATATTGTTGTTCGGCGGCTAGCAGCAGTTCGTGTATTGCCGTTCGGGAGTTTGGAGCCGTTCACGGATCCCGGTCGGGAGATTGCCGCTTCCCCTGCATTTGGTTCGTATACTACAGGTTAGGTGAACGGAGTTACTGTTACTGCAGACGGGGAAGGTCTACTAAACGGCGGTTTTGCCTAAAGACACTGGAGGTGTCTTAACACCATCCAATCCTGGACTTTTCTTCCCAACTAATGATTGAATACTATTTCTAACTTCTTCCTCTTCCTCTTTCTGCTGAGACCATGGCTTAACCATGGTCTCAGCATCCACTGCATTTAATACCGGATTATCAACATCTTGCAAATATTTTACCATATTTTCATTTGCAATAGGCTGTCTTGCAAACAATTGCTTAAAGTATTTTGTGACAATATTTATAATGTCCTTACTTTCTGTTTGTGTTTCATCATCTTGATCTACCAGTCCTGCTATGGCTTTCTTACATACTCTTCCCTTACACGCTTGAAAAGGATCTGGGGCTGTGAAACCCCAACTATCAAATTCATTTTCAGCTTTTAGAGAGATCATACAGTCATAATGGAGTTTTTTTATTTTATCCTTAACTTGATTAATGCTATTTGAATTCACAGTCTCACCATTATTGACCAAGGGATATAATCTACTAAGTCTAAGTCTTAGAGCAAGATATTGCATATATTGACGATTTCCTTCTTTTCTAGCTTTTGATTTAAAAAAACTTTTAATATCTTTTTTTATTTGTTCCCATCAATTCAACATCGTGTCGTATAAGCACTGCATGGTTTTTCGATCTTCATAAAAAGTAATGAATTCATGCTTAACATTTTCATTATCAAGTATTCTTGAGTTTAGTTTCCAGATACCTTTCCCATATATTATTCCTTCCTTTACCTTTAAGGACAGACTAATCATATCATGATCTGAAAACTCTACCAAGACTAAATTATATCTAAAAGATGAAGTTTGATTTTTTACATAAAGTCTATCTATACGACTTGCCCACCTCCCTTTATGATATGTAAATCCTCGCTGTGTAGGATAATTATATTTAAAAGTATCAATCAGACCAGCTTGACTGATCAGAGTTTTTAGAAAATTTTCATCATATTTTACATTTTTATAATTACTATTTCGATCTTCATTATTTACCACACCGTTAAAATCACCTCCCATAAGTAACACTTTGGATGTGAAACAATATGGTTTTACACTTAAAAACACTTTTTTCCTACCTGCTATTACCTGAGGAGCATATATATTAATTATTCGATATCTCACATCATTAAGCGTAAAATCTAACAAAAGGCATCTACCTGCAACAATTTCCACAATCCGATCAATTTTAAAATCACAGTTCTTAAACAAAATACCATCATAACTTTCCAGTCTAAATTACCAATAAGATGGGCCCATTGTCCACTCTCTTTTAGCACAAAAAACCTGGCTTGTCTCCTGTAATAAACACACATCCAGGGCCGGACTGGGAGAAAAATTCGGCCCGGGCATTTTTTTAACACAGCGGCCCACTAAAAAGGGGGCGGGGCAGAGGAGGTGTGTTTTGTCATCACCAATGACAAACACGCCTCCTCTCAAAGTGAGCATGTTGGTTCAATGCTCTTCCAGGGCAGACCATGCGCAGAGCTCTGCTGAAGAGCTCTAGCATGAGAAAAAAGTCCTGTATTTGTTCTGCACAGTGCAAGCAAATTTAATAACATGCTTGCACTGTGTTTCCTTGCAACTTGTCTCTGGTGTCTCTATAAATGGATACCAGGAGACAAAAGGCCAGGAAAGAGTATTGTGCATGTGTTTGGAGCCTGCTTGTGGTATTGCGTGTGTGTAGAGTGAGCTGGTCGTGGTGTGGTATTGTGTAATAAGGTCGGTTTTAGTCGTGTTGTGTTTGTGGTGTAATGTGATGCATATGTGGCTCAGGAACCCCCTCCCGCACGGCTCTGGAAAGGGGTTAAAACTTACCTTTTTCCAGCGCCGGGCGGGGAGCTCTCCTCCTCCGATCCGCCCCGTCGGCTGAATGCGCACGCGCGGCAAGAGCTGCGCGCGCATTCAGCCGGTCGCATAGGAAAGCATTTATAATGCTTTCCTATGGACGCTTGCGTGCTCTCACTGTGATTTTCACAGTGAAAAGCACGCAAGCGCCTCTAGCGGCTGTCAATGAGACAGCTGCTAGAGGCTTTGGGGGAAGGCTTAACCCATTGATAAACATAGCAGTTTCTCTGAAACTGCTATGTTTATAAAACAATGGGTTAACCCTAGAAGGACCTGGCACCAAGACCACTTCATTAAGCTGAAGTGGTCTGGGTGGCTAGAGTGGTCCTTTAAGAGTGTAGTGTGTGTGTGTATGTATATGTGTGTGTATATATATATATATATATTTGGAAGTATTGTGTATGTGTGTGGTGCAGTGTGTTGGGGGGGTTCTGTGTGTATGTGAGGGGTGCAGTATGTGTGTGTGTGAGGGTGCGGTGTATGTGTGTGTGTGAGGGTGCGGTGTGTGTGTGATGTGTGTGAGAGTGCCGTGTGTGAGTGATGGGTGTGAGAGTGCCGTGTGTGAGTGATGGGTGTGAGAGTGCTGTGTGAGAGAGTGCTCTGTGTGTGTGAGAGAGTGCTCTGTGAGAGTGCTGTGAGAGAGTGCTGTGTGTGTGTGAAAGTGCTGTGTGTGATGGGTGTGAGAGTGCTGTGTGTGTGTGAGTGCTCTGTGAGAGTGTGCTGTGTGTGATGGTGTGAGAGTGCTGGGTGTGAGAGTGCTGTGTGTGATGGGTAAGAGAGTGCTGTGTGAGTGCTGGGTGTGAGTGCTGGGTGTGAGTGCTGTGTGAGAGTGCTGGGTGTGAGAGTGCTGTGAGAGTGCTGTGTGAGAGTGCTGTGTGAGAGTGCTGTGTGAGAGAGTGCTGTGTGAGAGAGTGCTGTGTGTGATGGGTGTGAGAGTGCTGTGTGAGAGAGTGCTGTATAAATGTTATTGTGTGTGTGTGTAGGGGGGGGTAAATAAAAATTTAAAATTTTTTAAAAAACAGTCATTATTTCCCCCCCCTCCCTTCTTACCTTTAGCCTGGGAGGGGGGGACCGGCACGCTGGGACTGGGAGGCAGTGTTCCCTGGTGGTCCTCGTGGGTGAGTGAACTCTAGCCTGTGAGGCTAGAGTTCACTCTCGCGAGATCCGGTCGTTGCCATGGCAACGCGCCGGATCTCGCGAGAGGAACCCGGCGGAGCTGCAAGTTAGAGCTCCGCCGGGTCCTCTCTCCAGCCTGGCTCCCTCCCTCTCTGCCCGCCGGCGGCCGCATGTGGGCCGGTCAGGGAGATCCTTGATCTCCCCACCGGCCCGTCGTGGCAAACAGTGGGGCCGGCGCTAGGAGAGTGCCGGCCCTGCATAGACTGGCAGGGGAGATCCTGGGACCTCCCCTGCCGGCCTCAGCCCCACGGCCCACCGGGCATTTGCCCGGTGTGCCCGATGGCCAGTCCGGGCCTGCACCCATCAAATGATTGTTCTTTCAGAACAGTATAGAGTAAGTCTCTTCTCTTTTTTTTTTTTTTATCTTAAACTGTTGACATTAAGCAAGCATATATGTAAAGTCATGAAAGCCAAGGAGACTCAGCGCTTCTTCTTTACTGCTCCTATATTATCCCCTTGAGATCCCCATCGTTTTATTGAAACAGAAGCAGTTGCTTCTTCTTCTTCTTCTTCACAGAACAACTGCAATTCCTCTGTGGATCGCCTTTTCCAGAGAGATCCTTCACTCTGTTTAAACTCCATGGCATCTTCACTAGGTTCGTCCAGGATAGCATAGCAACCAGCAGTTATCTCAAATGACGAAAGCATCTGAGGAGGTTTTTGTGACTCACAAGAACCTGAATATTTTAATTTCTTCTTGTGCTTTCCTTGCACCAACTGAAATTCTTCACTGTTTTTTTCTGATACTGGACCCTTTTCAACATTTAATGGAGATTGTATTTCCTTGGCGTCTTTCCTTAAGATGTTTTCTGGCGCAGTAATGTCATCTTTCTGTGGCTCATTTGTATCTTGTTTCTCAGTTGTATTGGACTCTTCCATTGCTTCGGTAAATATGCTTTCCAAGTCTAGCACACAGTCGTTTATCTTATTATGGTGTGCTTCTGGGCACTCTCTAAAGGTATGACCTTGTACAGAACATAAGTTGCATATTACGTCCTGCTTGCATTCTGATCTCATATGGCCCAGACAGTTACATTGAGAGCACTTTATTTTATCACAGCAATAGGCCAAATGCCTTATTGACCCACATTTATAACAGCTTCTAGGCTGTCCTGGATAATAGCAAATGCCTCTGTCCGTACCAATAAAAAAAAAAAAACTGTGTGGTAAATGATGAGTAACGCCCCTGTCTGCCACAGTTTAACTTGCAGTTTCCATCCACCATTCCATAGCCCAATCTCATCATAAATCTTTTGTGGATCACTCACAACTGTACAGTGTCTCTTTATCCATGTATGTACGTAGTGGGGAATTACGATACCACATAACATAGATAACCCCAATAAAAAAACAATAACGACAGACAACTTAGTATGGATGAACAGGCCACAGCATTTATTATAACATAAATAAATTACTGCATAACACATCCATAACTTTATTTATTAAACTCTTCTTTCTATTAGAAATAATCATAAATTAACATATATACATATAATAACAAAAAACGTGCTATGCAGAGACCCAACCGTCCTTGCCAATAAACATACAGTGGTTCCTAATCACCACTTCCTCTCACCTCCCCCCTCGTCATAAAAAAAAAAAAAAAAATATTTCCAATGCCCGCCATCAGCCGACCTTATCCACGCTCGATGGGTACGACACCTCAGGCAACCTAATGCTTAACCGTTTGAAGCAGGGGAGGTTGAGACCTGCAAAACATAAAAACTTAGTCCATCCTTAGACATAACCCCTCAAACTTGATTGGCAAGGACATACCCCGCCTAGCTGTGACTACCTGAAACTAAAGGGGCGGGCGGGAAGCGGTTTGCTGGCCCGAATCCCAAGTGGCACTGAGTTAAGACCTCCCCCACACTAACTTACATTAACCCCTCCCATGCACACTTCCCAAGTCCCTCCCCTGTATCTATCCCCACACTCCTACATGTGCCCTTGTCCGCTTAGCTGCGCTATCTCCCCAGGGCCTGTACATTATGTCATTTAAAGCCACTACTTCTGTCTGGAACTGGAGATTGATGGACACTGTAGCCTGTTTTGTGAGTGGGATAGCTTTTATATTTTTCCAGATACCATCTGATTTTGTCCTATGGAAAATCACCCAAAACATATCCAGGTTCTGCATCAGTTTAAAACTAATGTCAAATTGTCTTGATCCAGGAAAGTGAATAAATGCAAATATTTCACTTGCAGAAAAACCCATGAATTCCATTAAGAGTTTGAGACCAATGAATATTCTGTCTGGAATGTCAGGTTCTGGTCCTGTGAACAACAGACGCACTGCATTCTTCCGCTTAGATACATCTCCCCTTGATCTTGCAACATTTGAAAACAAATTCCCGCTTGCTGCAGGTTGTTGTACATTTACCTGTGAGCTGTTCTGTATGATGGTTCCTATTCCCTTTTTAGTACCTGAATCCGGTCCATGTTTTTGTCCTACCGCATTGCTAGAGCCAGTTCCAGATTGCAGATGTCTATCTGGTGATTCCTCCAGATTCTGCTTTGCTGTGGAATCTCTGCTTTGTGTTGTATCTCTTGCAATGCTTACATCAAGAGGTTTTTGCAAATCACTTTCTTTCTCAATAAGTGTTTCCACAACACGTTTTATGCTCCTAGATCTCAGCTTATGGACAGTTATTTCATTTAAGCATTCAGGTATGGCTATGCTGAGGGCTGCTGGTTTATTGCACCCAGGTGCACTCTCAGATTTACATTCAGCAGCAGCCTCTCCTGTTTGAGCAGGTAAAGTCACTGGGCACATTTTATCACTTAATTTCTTTATCATTACCCCTACTTGCTTGTCTTTTAGCGGTTGTGTTGGTACCTTCTTAATCCTTAATGGGTTTAACTTTTGCATTTTATAACATTTTCTTTCCTCACCTTTTATTGCACTTTTCAGTTTTTCAATGCTTTGCTCTTTTACATCCATTGCCGTTTGTAGGGAGTCGATCTCCACCTGGATCTGATCAATCTGCTGCAGAAAACCTGTTCTCTCAGATTCCTGGGTTACTTCATCCACTTTCTTTACCAAATCTTGCTTCTGCTTGTACAAATCATCATACATTGCACATAAAGTCTGATAATTAGCAGAAGCATCTCCCAGTCTTTTGTCCCAAACCGTCAAAGCTTTACTAATTAAACTTTCCTTAAAATGTCTGCTTTCATTTGTTTGGGCTTCTTGGGTTTCCAACACCTCCAGGCCTGGGACTAGAGCAGAACTAGTATCCAGAACATCAACACCATCCTCAGTCCCCCTACAGGAGCTCCAACACATAGGAGTTATAGGGAGGGTTATATAGAGTTATAGGGAGGGTTATATAGAGTAATAGGAGGAGTTATAGGGAGGGTTATATAGAGTAATAGGAGGAGTTATAGGGAGGGTTATATGGAGTAATAGGAGGAGTTATAGGGAGGGTTATATGGAGTAATAGGAGGAGTTATAGGGAGGTTATATGGAGTAATAGGAGGGGTTATAGGGAGGGTTATATGGAGTAATAGGAGGGGTTATAGGGAGAGTTATATGGAGTAATAGGAGGAGTTATGGGGAGGTTATATGGAGTAATAGGAGGAGTTATAGGGAGGGTTATATGGAGTAATAGGAGGAGTTATAGGGAAGGTTATATGGAGTAATAGGAGAAGTTATAGGGAGGGTTATATGGAGTAATAGGAGGAGTTATAGGGAGAGTTATATGGAGTAATAGGAGAAGTTATAGGGAGGGTTATATGGAGTAATAGGAGGGGTTATAGGGATCGTTATGTGGAGTAATAGGAGGAGTTATATGGAGAGTTATATGGAGTAATAGGAGGAGTTATAGGGATAGTTAAATGGAGTAATAGGAGGAGTTGTTATAGGTAGAGTTATATGGAGTAACAGAAGGAGTTATAGGGAGGGTTATATGGAGTCATAGGAGGAGTTATAGGGAGGTTATATGGAGTAATAGGAGGAGTTATAGAGAAGGTTACATGGAGTAATAGGAGGAGTTATAGGGAGGGTTATATGGAGTAATAGGAGGAGTTATAGGGAGAGTTACATGGAGTAATAGGAGGAGTTATAGGGAGGTTATATGGAGTAATAGGAGGAGTTATAGGGAGAGTTATATGGAGTAATAGGAGGAGTTATAGGGAGGGTTATATGAAGTGATAGGAAGGGTTATGGGGAGGGTTACATGGAGTAATAGGAGGAGTTATAGGGATCATTATGTGGAGTAATAGGAGGAGTTATAGGGATAGTTAAATGGAGTAATAGGAGGAGTTGTTATAGGTAGAGTTATATGGAGTAACAGAAGGAGTTATAGGGAGGGTTATATGGAGTAATAGGAGGGGTTATAGGGAGGGTTATATGAAGTAATAGGAGGTGTTATAGGGAGGGCTATATGGAGTAATAGGAGGAGTTATAGGGAGGCTATATGGAGTAATAGAAGAAGTTATAGGGAGGTGTGACAGAACCATCTGCCTACCTATTGTGGTGGATTTGTCTATTTCTGCCCCCTTTCGTGTAAATGGCTGTTTCTATAGCCCAGCCATACGAATGACTGTTTTTTCCCGAACAAACCTACTGAACGGATGGCCACCCAAGAGAGAAGTGTGCTGCTGGTTAACCCAATTAGAACGTTGTGGTTAACCGCAGACACTTCTCAATTAAACGAATTCAGGGTGGTCGTCGTTCGTATGTCGACCACGAGGCAGCGGCCATTTTAAACCATGCGAAAGCCCAGCGGTGTTTGGCTCTATTTCTATGGAACTAAAAACTGACACTTTTTCTGTCGAACACCGCTGAAAGAACGGAACGCCTGGCTGCCTCCAAGAAAGCATACGAATACTGGCCGTTCGGGAGGTTTGAAGCATACGAAAGGACTTAACCCAGATAGCCTTCCCATGGAGTCATTCGTATACCGAAGGACTGTAAGAACTTTGACTCCATGGCGATTAAACTATGTGTGTGGGATCTGAGCGCTATTCGCTAATAATATGCACTCAGATCCAGGCTATCTGGGGATATGTGATACGAATGGAAAATGTTCGGTTATTTTAAAGTAATGTATTTTTATATCTTTTATGATTTTATATTTAAAATGGCGACTGGCTTTGTCCTGGAGATAATTGAGTTACTTGGTAATTATCTCCAAGGCAGAGGGGAGGGAATCATAGTGCATTGTGGGTAAAAACTGTGTCTATGTGTCTGGAATGTCCCCATATCTGTCTGTCATTTAAGTCTCCCATTTGGTCCCCTAGGGGAGTGTCCACCAAGTGGGAGACCTGCATAAATACGGGCAGGTAGCCCACAGTAAAGCCAGATCCTGTTTGACCCTCAATGCGGAGCTTCTGTCTCGTTATTGGGGTGATTTCTTCTTCACTTTTAGAGACTGCTGGATGGAAACGAAAGCCGCTTGGTGGATGTTATTGTTCGGCGGCTAGCAGCAGTTCGTGTATTGCCGTTCGGGAGATTGGAGCCGTTCACGGATCCCGGTCGGGAGGGTTATATGAAATAGCCAGGAGGAGCAGGAGAGGGGCACAGGACGAGCTATATGGAGCACAGGAGCTATAGGAGGTATTGGCATGGCACAGGGGATGTGAGCCATAGGAGTGGCTATATGGAGTAATAGGGAGGAGCTATGCAGTGAGGCTTACATGGAGCACAGGAGGGGCCATAGGAGGGCTATATGGAGCACAGGGAGGAGCTATAGGAGGGGCTATATGGAGTAACAGGAGTGAGGAGCTATAGGGAGGGCTATATGGAGTAACAGGAGTACAGCTATATGAGGCCATATTGCAACAGGAGGAGCGAGTGGAGGGCTATATGGAGCACAGGAGGGGCTTAGGAGGGCTATATGGAGTAATAGGAGGAGTTATAGGGAGGGTTATATGGAGTTATAGAAGGAGTTATAGGGATGGCTATATGGAGTAATAGGAGGGGTTATAGGGAGGGCTATATGGAGTAATAGGAGGAGTTATAGGGAGGGTTATATGGAGTAATAGGAGGAGTTATAGGGAGGGCTATATGGAGTAATAGGAGGAGTTATAATAGGGAGGGTTATATGGAGTAATAGCGGGAGTTATAGGGAAGGTTATGTGGAGTAATAGGAGGGGTTATAGGGAGGGCTATATGGAGTAATAGCAGGAGTTATAGGGAGGGTTATATGGAGTAATAGGAGGAGTTATAGGGAGAGTTATATGGAGTAATAGGAGGAGTTATAGGGAGGGTTATATGGAGTAATAGGAGGGGTTATAGGGAGGGTTATATGGAGTAATAGGAGGAGTTATAGGGAGGGTTATATGGAGTAATAGGAGGAGTTATAGGGAGGGTTATATGGAGTAATAGGAGGGGTTATAGGGAGGGCTATATGGAGTAATAGGAGGAGTTATAGGGAGGGTTATATGGAGTAATAGGAGGAGTTATAGGGAGGGTTATATGGAGTTATAGGGAGGGGCTATAGGGAGGGTTATATGGAGTAATAGGAGGAGTTACAGGGAGGGCTATATGGGGTAATAGGAGGAGTTATAGGGAGGGCTATATGGAGTATTAGGAGGAGTTTAGAGCTAAGGAGTACTGTGATGAGCTATAGGAGCTATATGGAGTAATAGGAGGAGTTATAGGGAGAGTTATATGGAGTAATAGGAGGAGTTATAGGGAGGGTTATATGGAGTAATAGGAGGGGTTATAGGGAGGGTTATATGGAGTAATAGGAGGAGTTATAGGGAGGGTTATATGGAGTAATAGGAGGAGTTATAGGGAGGGTTATATGGAGTAATAGGAGGGGTTATAGGGAGGGCTATATGGAGTAATAGGAGGAGTTATAGGGAGGGTTATATGGAGTAATAGGAGGAGTTATAGGGAGGGTTATATGGAGTTATAGGGAGGGGCTATAGGGAGGGTTATATGGAGTAATAGGAGGAGTTACAGGGAGGGCTATATGGGGTAATAGGAGGAGTTATAGGGAGGGTTATATGGAGTTATAGAAGGAGTTATAGGGATGGCTATATGGAGTAATAGGAGGGGTTATAGGGAGGGCTATATGGAGTAATAGGAGGAGTTATAGTGAGGGTTATATGGAGTAATAGGAGGAGTTATAGGGAGGGCTATATGGAGTAATAGGAGGAGTTATAGGGAGGGTTATATGGAGTAATAGGAGGGGTTATAGAGAAAGTTATATGGAGTAATAGGGGGAGTTATAGGGAGGGTTATATGGAGTAATAGGAGGAGTTATAGGGAGGGCTATATGGAGTAATAGGAGGAGTTATAGGGAGGGTTATATGGAGTAATAGGAGGGGATATAGGGAGGGTTATATGGAGTAATAGGAGGAGTTATAGGGAGGGTTATATGGAGTAATAGGAGGGGTTATAGGGAGAGTTATATGGAGTAATAGGAGGAGTTATAGGGAGAGTTATATGGAGTAATAGGAGGAGTTATAGGGAGGGTTATAGGGAGTAATAGGAGGGGTTATAGGGAGGGTTTTATGGAGTAATAGGAGGAGTTATAGGGATGCGATATAATAGGAGGAGTTATAGGAGGTTATATGGAGTTATAGAAGGAGGGTAGGAGTGGGGTTATATATGGAGTAATAGGAGGGGCTATAGGGAGGGTTATACGGAGTAATAGGAGGGTTATAGGGAGGGTTATATGGAGTAATAGGAGGGGTTATAGGGAGGGTTATATGGAGTAATAGGAGGAGTTATAGGGAGGGTTATATGGAGTAATAGGAGGGGCTATAGGGAGGGTTATATGGAGTAATAGGAGGGGTTATAAGGAGGGTTATATGGAGTAATAGGAGGAGTTATAGGGAGGGCTATATGGGGTAATAGGGGGAGATATAGGAGGGTTATATGGAGTAATAGGAGGAGGTATAGGGAGGGTTATATAGAGTAATAGGAGGGGTTATAGGGAGGGTTATATGGAGTAATAGGAGGGGATATAGGGAGGGTTATATGGAGTAATAGGAGGGGCTATAGGGAGGGTTATATGGAGTAATAGGAGGAGTTATAGGGAGGGTTATATGGAGTAATAGGAGGGGTTATAGGGAGGGTTATATGGAGTAATAGGAGGGGTTATAGTGAGGGTTATATGGAGTAATAGGAGGAGTTATAGGGAGGGTTATATGGAGTAATAGGAGGAGTTATAGGGAGGTTATATGGAGTAATAGGAGGGGTTATAGGGAGGTTATATGGAGTAATAGGAGGAGTTATAGGGAGGTTATATGGAGTAATAGGAGGGGTTATAGGGAGGGTTATAGCGGGAGCACAGGAGGAGTTATAGGAGGGCCAGGAGTAATAGGAGGGGTTATTGGGAGGGTTATATGGAGTAATAGGAGGGGTTATAGGGAGGGTTATATGGAGTAATAGGAGGGGTTATTGGGAGGGTTATATGGAGTAATAGGAGGGGTTATATTGAGGGTTATATGGAGTAATAGGAGGAGTTATAGGGAGGGTTATATGGAGTAACAGGAGGAGTTATTGGGAGGGTTATATGGAGTAATAGGAGGGGTTATAGGGAGGGTTATATGGAGTAATAGGAGGGGTTATTGGGAGGGTTATATGGAGTAATAGGAGGGGTTATATTGAGGGTTATATGGAGTAATAGGAGGAGTTATAGGGAGGGTTATATGGAGTAATAGGAGGAGTTATAGAGAGGGTTATATGGAGTAATAGGAGGAGTTATAGGGAGGGTTATATGGAGTAATAGGAGGAGTTATAGAGAGGGTTATATGGAGTAATAGGAGGGGTTATAGGGAGGGTTATATGGAGTAATAGGAGGGGTTATAGGGAGGGTTATATGGAGTAATAGGAGGAGTTATAGGGAGTGCTACATGGAGTAATAGGAGGAGTTATAGGGAGGGTTATATGGAGTAATAAGGGGTTATTGTGACTAATATTAAGATTGTTATGGTTATAAGAAGTTAATGAGAAGAACTAGTGATGCTTTCTGGATTATTAGACTATAAGAGTCACACAGATTGCCATACTGAGCATTGAGATGAGCTGTATGGAGTCAGTATATTTATTATTAGGAGGTAAAGTAGGAAATTATTATCATTAGTTTATATGAAGTTTCTTACCTTTTCTGCCTTTTTCCCACATTATGAATCCAAACACAGAGGCTAACACGAACAGAATGACGAGGAGTGTGATGAGGATCACTATCCCGATGGAGGGAATTACGTTAATATTGCTGTTGGACTCCGCGAGGCCAGATCTCTCTGTATGAAAACAAAATATAATTTATATCATTTATATCATTTATATCATTTATATCATTTATATGATTAATAAGATGCAAACGGGAGAGAGAGATTACTCTGTTCACACAGAGGGAGAGAGAGAGCTCAGTCTGTACATACAGAGAGAGAGAGAGAAAGAGAGCTCAGTCTGTTCATACACAGAGAGAGAGCTCAGTCCTTTCATACACAGAGAGAGAGCTCAGTCTGTACATACAGAGAGAGAGAGAGAGGGAGAGAGCTCAGTCTGTACACAGAGAGAAAGAGAGAGCTAGGTCTCTACATACAGAGAGAGAGCTCAGTCTCTACATACAGAGAGAGAGCTCAGTCTGTACATACAGAGAGAGAGAGAGAGAGCTCAGTCTCTACATACAGAGAGTATATATATATATTATTACTCCTACTTACTCCATAGTATAGATGTCGGACCCTCCAGGCTGCTGTGGTTTACCAGGCAGATGTATGCATCTTCTGATATCGAGGATATATTGACCGAAATAGAGGATAAATAGGTCTGATCAGTGAGAGGCAGTGTCAGTATCTCCAATTCCCCATCAGGTATAATCTGTCCATTCTTGTACCAGGTCATATCAATTTTTCTGGGGTAATGTCCATATGCTTTGCAGTACAGTGTATCACCACTAGAGAGCACTATTACATCTGGTACAACTGTAATGAGAAAAAATGCAATGTATCACAAATTACTATACCTACAGGCATAACTGCAATAAGACAATAAAATAAGGGCATACGGAATTCTCTAATTATGGAAAAATTGTGATAACTTGCAACTTGCTTAGCTTGCTGTTTTTTTTCAATGTCAAAGCTTTTGTTGTTTTACAATATCACAATAGATAAGCATTCGTGTACACGAAGCAACAAAAAGACAAAAGATACATTTCCTCATACAGTCCCATATACAATCGGCACAGCACAATAAGGATGAATAGAAGGACCATGTTAAGCATCTTTCAAATACATTCTGAGATAGTGAGTCAAATGTCCTTGCAGTGCTGTGAGTAAGCACGTATCCTTTGGTCTCTGTGGGTTCATTTAATAATAAACCCAACACGAATGAAAAGTGAAAAGGGGGAGAAAAAGCAAGGAGAGAGAGAGAAGATAAAACATCAGTGGATATATCATATGATATGTGTTACAGCGAAGTGAAGACAATATTAGAAAGTACCTTCCCTCTGTTGGTGAATATGACACATCAGTTGGCATATGTATGTTATCTCGAATAAACAACTCAAAGTTATCTAGAATAAACAACTCGAAGTACATGTAATTGCAGCCCATTTACTAAACACTGGGTATGCATGTTGGTCAAGCAACTTTTGAAATTTTTTTATTTATTTATATCACCTTGTCAATATATTTCTGTTTGACTGACTGCCACCCTGTCCAATCTTTAGCAAAGTCTACATCCCTTCCCTGCAACCTGTACGCAATTTTTTCAAAGTGTGAAGAGGCCCAACCATGACACCCCGAAGTCCTCCCATTTATGTGGCTGTCCATCTAATTTATGCAAACATGGTTTTCTCATATCAAGAGAGAGTGAGATTTCATCAATTTAATCGGAGATCCGTATTGGTAGTGCCTGTGTTTTTTTAATGTAATTCTTGTAGTATGATATTTTGACATATGTATCTAGAAGTTGCGTCAGCGAAGGGATCGCGGTGTCTGGCTTACATAACAGCAGTAGGACATTGTCAGGGAAGAGCGCTATTTTATGTTCCCCACATGGTGTTGGAAGTCCGCTGATGAGTGGATGTTATATGTCTAACTAAAGGTTCCAATCTGAGGATAAAAATTATTGGCTAGAGCTGGCAACCCTGATTAGGGCCATTTGTTATTTATAGTGGATGTGACGAAAGTAACCTTGTCACTGGCTTTAGGAGGGGCCTGTTTGCCAGCCTCCTACCCTGTGATTATGGCCCTGTGACAAACTGAACCTCGTCGCGGGTTCTTGGAGGGGCCTGCTAGCAAGCCTCTTGCCTCAGGACTTTGGGCCTTGCAATATACCTTGCCAAATGCACTTTAAAAGGCTCTGTTCATGTGAAGTATGCACTTTTGTACTCCAGACAAAGAGACCGACTGTTAGCCCTAATTCTCTGGAACTGTTTTGGGCATGGGACCATGTGCACGGTGGGTCAAAATTAAAGCTGAAGTGTTCTGCTTTACTATGATCTCCCTTTAAAGGGCCACTATAGGCCCCAAAACATCTTCAGAGATCATTCCCTCTGCAGTCTCACTGCTCAATTTTCTGCCATTTTAGAGTTAAATCACTTTGTTTATAGAGCCCTAGTCACACTTCCCTGCATGTCATTTGCATAGCATTCCTAAACACTTCCTGTAAAGAGAGCGCTAATGTTTAAACTTCCTTTATTGCGCATTCTGTTTAATTTAGAGTTTCTTATCTCCTTATCTCCTGTTCTGTATAGTCTTCTAGGTCCTAAACTTGCCTTCTATGTCTGATTAAAATTCCATTTACCGAGCAGGAGATAAAAACTTTTAAAACAAGTTAACATCTGATTCAAAATGAAACCATTTTTGTATGCAGACTGTGTGAGTCACAGCCAGGGGGGTTGGCAAGGGATGCATAAACAGAAATAAAACTGATTTAACTTCTAAATAGCATAGAATTGAGCAGTTAGACTGCAGGGGCATGATCTATCAAAACCTTTTAACTCGTGACCATGATTTCCAGTCACCATATTCCTGGTGGGTTTTTTTCGATCTCAGAGTAGAAGGATAGTGTTTTCCTCTTACACTGTAGATAAACAGAAAGAAAGGTTTCTCCAAGGATTGGGTGGAATATCTTTTACAAAAAGAGATACATCAGAAATGATTGTTTTCAGTGGGGTTCATTGTATTACTTGGGGTGTGGTTCTACTGATTGTACTGACGCTTTTTGACTGATACAATAAACTGATATTTACTTGGTTGGGTTGCACGGTTCTTGATAAGGCAGCTATAGAACTATTTGTATCCAATCTATTGTCACCTTGCTTTCATCCCTAGATGTGGTCTGGTAGTTTGGGGAAATTGTTAACTTGTTACTAACTAAGCAGATAGGATAGTGCTTCCTTGTATCATTTACATCTGAACATAAATATTCCTATAAAGGGGGGTCCAGAAAATGGCAGAGAAATTTAAATGCAGCCATATAGCACTTAGAGCTGCAATACACATTTATTGACAGTGATTGTGGCTCCATCTGCTGAGGTTCCTCTAGGGTGGGGTAAAACAGAATAAAAAGTGAGGGATTGATCCAGGACTAAATTTATGTTACATGCTCTCTGAGGCTCTTATAATACAAGGGGTCCTTTATATAAACACTTTGAACAGCACTGCGGAATTTGTTGGCGCAACATAAATAATAATATAAAACTACCAGGGCCGTCTTTAAGGAGGGGCAAAAGGGGCAGCTGCCCCGGGCCCAGTTACTCCTGGGGGCCCTAAGGCAGCTGCCCCATGGGCCCCCTGCGGCACCTGCGGTAATCAGGGGCCACAGCCCTTTAATACTGCTCTGGACCGGCCCGGGCCCCAGTTATATGGGGGGTGGCTGACTACATACTCACAGCTAGCCCCCTCACATACTGCCCTGTGAGTCTCTTTGTTTCCTGGACATGCTGGGAGGCAGTGAGGTCAGACTGCTTCCTCCCAGTAAGAACTGATCAGTTCCTCCTCAGTGCCGCTGGGGAGGAGGCACACACCACACGGAGGAGGATGCAAGCATTGTGGGGGAGAGGGACTGAGAAAGCTGATGGCAGACTCCCATCAGCCTGGGCCAACAAGCTCCCACTGGACCCCAGGGAAGCCACCTTTCTGTACCCAAAAGGTAAGGAGACAGGAGGGTGGCTAAATATGTTTTGTTTTTTGTTTTGCTAATTTCTGATATCACTTTTATTTAATTGTGTTGGTGTTTGTAATGTAACACACAGGGAATAAGTACATGTTAAAAATCCTAGAAGAACCTGACAGTTCCCTATTAAATATAAATTTAAAAAGTATTTATTTTAACATATTGCATCAAGTGTTATCAAAGGTGGTACACCATTTTCAAATGTCACTTTTGCCAAATTCTGGACCAGGTTATGTAAGAACAGAGTTGAGACATTATATTGGCCAAGGTTGCTGGGAGTTGCTGTCCAAGAGCTGCTAGAAGGCAGAGATTAAAATATGTAAATGTACACATATATATGTGTGTGTATCTGGCTGTGTTTATGTCCTTGTGTGTATCTGGCTGTGTTTGTCTGTGTGTCAGTGTTTCTGTGTGTATGAATACCTCATACACCTGTATGTGCACCTGTGTGTGTGTTTCGGTGTGTGTGTAAGTGTGCATCTGAGTGTGTGGTAATGCATACATCCCAGCATTTTAATGCCAACACAAATACACTCCTACATTCCATCTCTAGCACTGTACACATACACACCCCTGCATTTATACCTTTATGTATGTGTGTATCTGAGTGTGTGTGTATATACCTGTGTCAGTGTGTGTGTGTATGTGCCAGTGTGTGTATATCAAAGTGCTTGTATCTGTGTGTCAAAGGGTGTGTATCTGAGTGTGTCTGTATGTGTATGTGCCAGTATGTGTCAAGGTGTGAGCATGTGTCAGTGTGAGCATGTGTGTATCTGCGTGTTAATGTGTATGTGTATATGTGTTATAGAAATCACACAACATGCAAACAGACCCCTGCAAACACAAACATTACAAACACACCAGTTTGCTGAAACACTAATACTACACACAAATGTACACATGTATTTAAAAGACAACACTACATCCAAACACCCCCCTGCATGCAAATACAAACATTACATGCAAACACATTCCTGTATTAAAACGCTAAAATTATATACAAACACCAACTCTACACACAAAAGTACACCTGCATTTAAAAGCCAACACTACAAACAATCACACATCCCTGCATTAAAATGCAAACACTACACACAAGTACACCACTGCATTCCAATGGTAACAGTACATACAAATACACTCCTACATGCACACATACACTCTATACAATAACATGCTGACATTCATTTGCACAAACACTGCTCAAAAATGCAACCCTGCAAGGATGGTAGATCCCCACCTGGCATAGCATCGCAGGAGTTGTATGACAGATGGGGATCTATCTTTTCTTTACTCTTGTGCTACAGGGCAGGCCTGAATTTTTTTTTGTTGCACCAAGGCACTCTCTACATTAGTTTCACCTCTAGGTTGGGGTGGAGGGAGTGATTGCATGCCCAGGGGGCCCAAACAGATGCTTGCCCAGGGTCCAATCAATATTAAAGACGGCCCTGAAAACTACTCCTAACTTGTACTTCAATTACCCTTGCTTCCTCTTTTAAGGTATAAAGGTAGAAATTTTGCACAAAGCTTTGTGTACAGAAATTGGCCACCATTACTACCCCATAGATGCATTACTTCCTCCCCTTCTGCTCATTTTCATTGAATAAATTAAAATAATTGTTTTTCACCTTTTCTGTTGATGTATTCTTGCCCGTCCGTCACTAATAAATTGAGGACATTCTCACAGAAGGTAGTCAGTTCTTCTATTCTCATTTCGGCTCCTGTTCTGTTTGCGTTCAGATTATCCAGCATTTTCTGAGTTCGGTTTATTTCCGAGGAATAGTTTCCAGTGTCCGTATCAAACCTCCACAATTCTACTCCTCTATACGCAGTCTGGAGATATGATTGGAAAGAGCCATTCTCAAATTTTTCACAGCCATGAAAGACTTGCTGAGTGTCGTTACCTGAGAGACAGAAATCGCGTTAGTAACAAAACATGAATGCAAATGACTCCCGGAGATAAGAGATGTTATACGTCAACTCTCATGACTCTCATCAAGCCCTTTGGCTTCCGGACAACTGACTAAAAATCATGGAAGATGGTAAAAAAAATCTATTGGCTTTATATATAGGGGTCGTTGTTTATTAGTGCCACTGACATTTCCTTAAAACATTTTCACAGGTGGAATGAAGGACAGAAATATTTCTTTAAAAATTTTATTGCAGTGTGTCAGACTTATACAATTAATACATTCTGACACTGACACATATAAACCCACAAGCTGCGCCCCATGCACACAACACCACAAGCAACCTCCCCTACACACAACACCATACTCATACATACAACACAGAGTCAGATTGAGATTGTCCTGGGCCCTAGGCCTTATGAGCCATGGCTGAGTGTTGTATGTGTGTGAGCATGACTGAATGTTGTGTGGTGGGGAGTCTGAGTGTAGCTCAGTATTGTGTATGAGGTAGCTGAGTGATATATTTGTTCGGGGAGTATGAGTGTTGTCAGTATATTTATATCGGCAGACATTTTGTGTTAAGACAGAAATTAAAAGTGTATATTGTCAGTCACCCTCAGAACAGAGGTGACTCCATCTTGTATTACAAGGCTGAGACAGACACAAGATTTCTCTCTCTATCACTCTATTCATTCAAGTCTGAGCTAAGGAATGCGACTTATGTAAACATTAGAGATAAGACATAATGTTTGCAGCAAAAGGGGGGTTGAATGCGATATATACACAATATCCACTTATAACTACCTATAAGCATATATATCATATATAATTAGTATTATGTTAATAATATAGACTATTCATGGATAAATATAAATGAAGAAATATCATATTATTTACTAATGTTAGTGGAGTATAAATAATCTTAAACACAGTTTCACACAAGAAAACCAGACAGATCACCAAATTTAATTAACCCATTATCCAAAAATGTAAATGGACCCCTGACAAGAATTTTTGGTGATGTAATTGTCCCACCTATTGACCAAAATCTAGATGATAGTCTGTAGGGAAGACACACAGTTCCCTATTGATCCTATCGACTGGTGACATGCAGAGAATTTGCCCCTTTAAAAGTAAGGACAAAGGGAAGAGAAAGAACACACTCTCAAACTCTCGGGGACTTACACATTCTGACTCTTGGACACTCTAAACATTCTCTTGGACCCACATCTAACAGCTAAGATCTGACATCTGAATCAAAAGCTGTCTTTATCTTTTCCAACTAACACAACTTCAGAACTCTGAAAACTTTCCTATTTTCCACAATTCTCATCATACTTGAATTCGAAATTCCTGGGACATATCTATACATCTGATAGAAAATCTACATCCTAACTGGTAATTATATTGGTTTAATTACATTAAATTAAATTAAATTAAATTAAATGACCACTATAGGTACCCAGACCACTTCAGCTAAATGAAGTGGTCTGGGTGCCAGGTCCATCTAGGATTAATCCTTTCTGCTGTAAACATAGCAGTTTCAGAGAAACTGCTATGTTTACATATGGGTTAATCCAGCCTCTAGTGGTTGTCTCATTGACAGCCGCTAGAGGCGTTTCCGCACTTCTTACTATGATTTTCACAGTGAGAAGACGCCAGCGTCCATAGGAAAGCATTGAGAATGCTTTCCTATGGACTGGCTGAATACGCGCGCGGCTCTTGCCGTGCATGCGTATTCAGCCGATGACATCAGAAGAGGGAGGAGAGTCCCCAGCACCGAGGGAGCCCGGCTCTGGAAAAAAGGTAAGTGATTAACCCCTTTCCTCCCCCTTCAGCGCAGCGGGAGTGGGACCCTGAGGGTGGGGGCACCCATAGGGCACTATAGTGCCAGGAATACGAGTTTGTTTTCCTGGCACTATAGTGGTCCTTTAATAATTTTTTACTAATAGCAGGAATATATATCTGGATAAATATTGGTCAGATTTCAATTATTAGAAATCATAGTTAGCTAAGGAATATATGGTTATAAAAATTCCATTCCTGCAGGTGGAATAAAGATAACGATATATTAACGGTAAATTTGACAAATGTTAGCATACCAAATTTTTATCCAGGTATTGACTTGTTCTGATATAAAACAGATAATCTTCATTAGGAAAGTTAAAATTCTGCAAACGTAAAATCTGGTTAGAATTATTCTTATTGGATGGTCCTAGGAATGGTGAATGATCTGGTATGAGGATTGTAGCTAGCAATGAATGAGTTAATTCAGTGTGATTTGACTGTCAGACAAAGTTTTTATTGCTTTACGCTGTGCTGCTGTGTTCTGTGAACTTATTTCTAAGTGAAGTAGTGTCCTATCATAAATCTTGTTAAATTGCCTACAACTGTCGCTATTTAGCTGTCTATAATGTGTTGAAACCATTGCCATATTGTATACTTATGTTATACCTAAATATTCAATGATTATTGTCACGCATGTTACATATTATTATTATTTTTATTATTATTGTCACAATAAATTATATTTTTATAATGAATTTGTGATTACTGTGTGAAGTAAAAATTCTCTAGTGAAACTTCCTCTAGGATCTAAGATAATTAAAAGTGTGGGTAATTCTCAGCTTTATATAATTATTCGGGGAACAGTGCCAAGATATCAATTTTTTATATAATAAATTTTTTTGATAATTTTTATGAAAATATTATTTTTAATATTTATCACCAAATAAATATTCTCACAGTGTGCCTGTGGGTGGGGGTTCAGGCTTGTGTTTGTGATGGCTTATTGAAGTTGTGTGTGGTGGCTTATTACAGCTGTATGTGGTGGCTGAATTTTGTTTGTAGAGGAGGCTGAGTGTTGTGTGTGTTAAGTGGAGGCTGAGCGTGACTGAGTTTTGTGTGTTGGGGGAGGAGGTTGAGTGCATGGTGTGAGGTCTCCCCTCATAACTCTCCTTATATATATTTTTTTTTTAAGCTTGTCTACCTCCTTCTTATCGTTTGGAAGTCTCTGGTGGTCCTTTAGAGGACTCTCTGGGCTGGACCTTTAGTGTCTGCATGCAGTTCACTTTAAGAACTCTTTCACAGGAGTTTATGATGTATAGAAAAATACTGAGACAAAATAGTCCCTACTTTGTCTCTGTATATCTTTTGACTGGGTTGGAATTTTAGTGAAATTCCAACCCAGTCAAAATGAGTATTACATAAACATTCTATCTGTATGAAATACTCATTCTGGAGGGGGGAGGGGTTTACAGAGTTGCTTTTACTTCCTTAATATACATTTAGTCATCGCATGAGCAAAACTGTATTTTGTATCTAGTGTTTTAAATAACCGTTTTTATGCTAAATTTACATGATAATTATAGCAGCTTTTTGTTGGATGGGTTCCCGGATAACCCTGTTGGAACCTCTAAACTCATGATAACGCATATCCTGCTAGCTGCTAAACAAAGCTTTTTTTTTTACATATGAAGAAATGTCCCATAGAATATCGTGTACCTTACATAAGGTTAATAAGGTATGGGAACTTTGGCGTACTTATGACTTCACCCAACTAATAAATCTTAGTAGGCCTCCTTGATTTCTCCCAATATGTAATACCAGTACAGCAAGGGTTGTGACTGCATATATACTTTTGAATAGAGTATTGTTACAGTTTTTCTACTTCAATGATTTTGGTATCTGAATTACGGGTGATCTGTAGAGATGTCGCGAACTGTCTGCCGAACTGTTCGCGAACTGTCCGCCGGCGAACAATAACGTGTTCGCGTTGGGCGAACATATCCGATTTCCGGTCCGCCCCCTTACGTCATCATTGAGTAAACTTTGACCCGGAACCTCACAGTCAGCAGACACTTCCTGGGAGGGAGGGTCTTTTGCTGATTGGGTGGAATGTGTCTGCTGGCTGTGAGGTTCCGGGTCAAAGTTTACTCAATGATGACTTATAGGGGGCGGACCGGAAATCGGATATGTTCGCCCAACGCGAACACGCTATTGTTCGCCGGCGGACAGTTCGCGAACAGTTTGGCGGACAGTTCGCGACATCTCTAGTGATCTGTTGTGTAATTGTAAACTTGAAAACCTTAATTAAAATTAAAATATTTTTTTAAAAAATCATCATCATACTTTTGTGTGAGTGCACGTTATAATGCAAATTGCCTTCATACCCAATGAGGTATTCTTCATAAATTTTTCATCTCTCCAAAGTTCGAGCTGAAGATTGACCCAGGAATAGTTTGACGGCATCTTCTTTCTCCACGGGACGAGAGGGTCCAGCCAATTGTTATTGCTGTCGTACCAATACACGGGGATGTCATTCAGGTATAAATCAGCAAAAAAATCTGGATTTGAGATTGGAAGGTAGGTGTGATGATATGTCACGGTGTAGCTATCTGGGAAGAAAATAAAGACACCAATAACTTCTACTGAATAAAATATGCATTTATAGGATTACTTACTAAAGTGACAAATGTCAGGAGTTCAAAGTGGATTTCACATGTAAAAATTAAAATAGCCAAACTGGAATCATGGGTGACTTGGAGATTAGTTATATAATATTACGAAATTAATCCTTGGATTGGCAGCGTTGGCACACCCTCTGTGGCTCCTAGCTGGGCTGTGTGACTGCTGTAAAAATAAAGCTACTTCCTTGTATCTCAGGCTTCTCACATAATTATCTTTGTCCGCTGAGAGTCTCACACAGACCAGCTCTCCAAGTACCTGATAGCATTCCTCTTGGTATGTGTGTGATCTAAGACTAGCACATATATTCGGTGCTTAGAACCCTACTGTTCTTTATATATTGGCCATATAAGGGTATATCCCACCTATATTTTAATTAAGGTATTTATGCGTTGTGTGTTATTTTGAGACTACATATCAATACTTTTTCATTTGGTTTTGATTTTTTTAATCTTTTTTTGTATTTTTAGTAGTTTTATCTCTGTGTCTGAAGCTGCCACTTTTTAAAGAAAGGAATATTCGTATTGCAACCTACATGTAAACCAGTAGTGGTACTTTTATTTTTTTTTAAAACATCTTATTCATTTGGACGTTCATCAAATGTACGGACGGTATCCCTGGCACAGCCTGACATTCAATGCAAATTCCAAATCTCCCATGATTCCCAGTGAGCAGAAAAAAAGTGTGCTTTATATGTTTTCTGGGGTGGGTAAAAAAGGAATTATCACCAGTTCCGCTGAGGTGTTTTTGCAGGGTTAAGACTGCCTTGAGTTACTGTTCATCACACAGCCACTAGAGGCACTGCTTCCTGTTTCAAAGAGTTTGACTCCGTAAAATGACCCTGGACATCCTCACAATTTACATGAGGATGTCCAGATTCTTCAAATCCCTTATAGGAAAGCACTGAATCACTGCTTCCTCGTGGGGAAAGTCTAATGCATGCGGCATTCGCCACACATGCAAGTTCAGTTCCCCCCTCAGCACTGACGTCGCAAGAGGAGGCAGAGAGGAAGCCAGTGCCAAAGGCACTGGAATAAGGTGAGTGGAAATAGGGTTTTATCCCTTTATTTGGTAGTTGGTGTGAGTGGGCAGAGGAACACTTTAGTGTTAAAAATACAGCTTTGTATTCCTAACACTAAATTGTTCCTTTAAACTAAAAATTGTGGAGATCTGACAAAGGAAGTTTACATTTTAGGCCACATATCGGAGTTGGATAATAGCTGAGCTAAGAAAGATTCATGTAGGAGATTTTTGTTCCTACCTCAACTGATTTGGCATAGAGGACCAACCCAGCCCCCCAATCTGCACCCATCCTGTTTTGCCAGGTAAGGACATGCATTTGTTGGCTAAAACTGTTATAAGATCACGCACAGGCTGTAAATTAAATAAACAGGTTCACACCCAGATCGACTCCAAAACCACACGCTCCATAGTCTTTAAATATTTTGCATTGACCCCCAAAAGTGACATCACCTTTAATGGTCTGGTGGCAGTCTGATGAAGTGGAAGTTAGCTGTACTTACCTGAAGTTGTTCCTCGCCTTGCCGCCTCCAATCTCTTTGTAAGAAATTATGACCCTTGTAGAGGATGGCCATGAGCTGCCCTGGGACTTACATTATGTTTAACTTGTATTAGTCTATTTGCCAAATGTCTATGCAGTAAGGGAATGCATTCATGTAGAATAGCAAAGTTCTATGTGTAAAATGTATTGGATTCGTCTGAATGTTAGGTAGTTTCATTCCCTTAGTTTGTTCGAATGAAACTACCGAACAATCAGACCTCCCCTAGGTGAAGTGTGCCTTCAATTACCCGTTGCAACATTGTTGCGAACGGGTAATTGACAAGCTGTGTAGCAATCCTTTGTTCTCGGAGGTGGCCGCCATTCGGGAAACGAACACGTGGCGGCGGCCATCTTAAACTCCCGAACAGCGGTGTTTTGCCGTCGAGTGTCTGGAACTCAAAACGGACACTCGACTAGGCGAACACCGCTGAGACCTCCATCAGCCCGGTCCATTCGGTTCCAAACTACCGAACGGCCCCTCGTTCGGTAGGCATAATCAACCGAACGAGGGGATTCAGGTGAACTCTCCCAAGCCTCTATAGCTGGAGGCTTTCAGGTACTTCATTCGCCGTTTCCAGGACCGACCGCAGGGCCCAATCGCATGGAGCCCAATTCGGCTAGTTCATCCAGTGCGGTCGGTCATTTTATTCCCTCCATGAAATTCCCGAACCCCTGGTCTGATCTGGGTGATTTTTGGATATGTTGTTCACCCAGATCAGGGCTACCAGGGGATGCATAATTTAAAGGGGTACCTCTAGGTTTAGGGGTACATCCAGAAACGGGGGGAATTGCTGTATTGGATAAGGGGATTATGATGCCGGCTGAGGGGAGGAGATGTGTGGGAGGTTACCAGGATAGGATTGGCTAATGTATTAATGAATGTAATCCCTCCCTTGCATGGGAGCATGCTATATAAGGCCACTGTCTGAATAAAGGTTGTCAGTTCTGCTCCTGATGCTGTGTGTCGTCCAGTCATTGGGATTGCTGTTGGGATACTATTGGATTATTTTGCCTGTTGGAAACTTTGCCTGTGGATTTATAATTTACTTGTTCCTGAGCCTCACTGGGATCTTAAGCGGAGATAACCTGGGAAATATTGCATCTCCGCTACAACCCTCTTACAAGGATATTCTTTTAGGGAATGTGTGACAAATAAGACACAAACACAAGTGTATAATAAAATGTATTGTCAATATTAATTTAAGGATACTGTTAGATTTGAAAAGGATATACACATTACACATTGTACATTAAATCCAGTGCATAATCAAAAGATACATAATAAAAGGGCAATACTTAAACATTTCAATAAAGGTCTTCCCCTTGTGCCTTCATCTTGGTAGTAATCGGGGACAGCCACCTGTGCTTGCTGCGCTGTCCTCTCCAAAAGAGACAAAGAGAGAGAGAGAGCGCAACCTCCTTGGCTGTTGTCCTTTTAAAGACTCATTTTTGCTGTCATAAACTACAAGTCCCAGAATCTCTTTTCCCTCCCAAAAGTGGTTTATCCCACCCTCTTTTTCCAGAGAGTTCTGTCTTTACACAAGTCTTTCCCTTTGATCTCTTCCCTCCAGCCATACTGTAACGTTCTGAAAGAAGTAACCAGTTGGTTAGGTTTCTTGGTAGATTGGACAGGATTGCTTGGGAAAACACACACTTCCATGGTTACACCTAGATGTTAAAACTTTAAAACTGGTTGGCAGGAGAACTCCTGGAGGGACGTAAGCTTTTGTCTTAACTGGGTGGTGTAAAATGCAACTGAACGCTTTGATCCTTATCACACTGTTATCAAGTAAATGACCCCAACTTGTGAAACCAGTCACATACACAGAAAGTTATATACAATATTGCAGTTTGGCATATCAATTTCTTACATCTTTAGCTCCTGGCTTCACATATGTGGGGTGGGAGGGGGGGAAGGGGAGGGGTTATTTACTAAACTAAAACTAAACTAAACTAAATAAAATTTAAGGTGAAAGCAGCCAAACTGAACGCATAGCTCACTTATTGTTCCTGTTTGACTATTTTCACCTTAAATTTGATATTCGCTTTGAATCCACTTTGAATTACTGACAATTCTCCCTTTAGTTAATAATCCTGTGATAATAAGCTGTTCATCTCATACTGTATTGTATATTATAAAGCACAATATATAAATTGCACAAAAGGTCAGTAAAAACAGAATAAAGAATAACTGACCTGTGTGGGACGTGTGTACCATTAAACTCAGGAGAAGGCTGGAGATTAGGACGGAACCCATGTCTGCTCCGGAGTTCTAGATCTGATACGAATGGATACAAATCCTACATAGAATATCAAAATATGCAGAACGAGGTGTCACCTAGCTTCGAGGTGGATACCAACCAATTAATAACCCAGCCCTTCATTTTAGGACACAATTCCATATTGAGTAATATTTGCTGAATGCAGGGAATAACTTTCAGTTTCACTATTGAGTGATTTATTTACAGCTCTGATATTTACAGTGTGATTTACTAAAGTGAGAATTCAAAGTGAATTTAAAATTTAAGGTCAGAATAGCTGAGATAGGAAGTATAGCTAACTGAGGGAGTTGTTTCCAATTCTAACAACCCTGTTTATCTAGAAATGGTTTCTGAACAAGTCACGTGGTGAGAAAAATTTAACAAAGTGTAAAATTTGCACGAAGTAAACAGTTAAATTATGGATTGACAACACATGTGACGTTAGTTCTCTTTACAGTATCATACCCCTTCAGGTAGGTATAGAGGCAATAAACCATTTTTTTAATAAAATCTGATTTTAAAGAAGAACACATAGATTATATTTTGGAAGGTACTCGTTTAATCCTTACTCACAATTATTGTTAGTTTAAAGATATGTTTTTTATGCAGACCTGTGGGATGGCAATGGGCACCAAATTTGCACGTTGTTATTCAAACCTGTTTATGGTATACTGGGGAGAGAAATACATTTACCAGGGTCATTCCTGGAGTGCAAATTTGGTGCCCTACCTCCATATCATAGATGACATTTATTTTATTTGGAAAGGCAATGATTTGGACCATTTTTAAAAAAATATCTTAACAGCCACTGGGGCATAATTTTAACATCCACATGGAGCCCCACTGACATACATTTTTAGCTCTAAATATCTGTGTACAAGATTTTACTATTAAGATGATGAATTATTTTAAACCTGTGTATGCAAACAGTTACATAGTGTCACGCCGCCAGCCAGTCCTGCTCCTGCTCCCAAAGCAATCCAAAGATTTATAGGCTTTGCCAGCTATTACCACAGATTTATAAAGGGATTCTCCTCTGTCATATCTCCCATTACCAGTCTCAAACGAAAAGGGGCTGAAACCCATGTCTGGCCCTCTGCAGCTTTGTCTGCCTTTGAAAAACTTAAATCTTTCTTTTCTACTGGCCCGGTGCTTGTACATCCGGACCCTTCCAAGCCTTTTGTTTTGGAGGTTGATGCTTCAGATACAGAGGATGGAGTGGTCGTCTCTCAAGGTGAGTCCCACGACACTCCACTCCATCCTTGTGGCTTCTTTTCCAAAAAACTATCCCCAGCAGAGGTTAATTATGACATAGGGAACAGGGGATTATTAGCAATAATCCTGGCTTTTAAAGAGTGGTGACACTTGGTAGAGGGTGCTTAAGTTCCCATTATGATTATAACTGATCATAAGAATCTGGCATATATCAGCAAGGCTAAACGTCTCTCGTCCAGACAGGCCAGATGGTCCTTGTTTCTTTCACGTTTTAATTTCATTATCACGTATAGACCTGGTTCTCGTAATACTAAGGCTGATGCCCTATCACGACAGTTCAAAACCGACTCCGATAGGGACCTAGAGGTCGTGCCCATCATACCCCCTGAACGTATAGTGGCTACCACCATTTTAAACATGTCCTCTTCTTTAATGGACAAGTAACATAATACCCAAATCCAGGCTCCTGACAACAAACCTAACGATAAATTGTTTGTGTCACCTACAGAGAGGACAGAGATACTCTCTTTGTACCATGACACCAAGTCAGCTGGTAATCCAGGAATTCGAAAATCTCTGTCTTCCATTTCTAGGCAGTTCTGGTGGCCTTTTATGCTTAAGGATGTTACTAATTATGTCAAAGCATGTACAGTTTGCGCTGTGGCTGAAAACCCTCCATCCAAGGGGTATACTACCATTTTAACAGTGGTAGATCATTTCTCGAAAATGGTTCATTTAATCCCTCTTCGTAAACTACCCACCTCAGCTGAATTAGCTCAGTTCTTCATTAGGGAGATATACAGGTTACATGGGTTGCCTCAAGAAATAGTGTCAGATCGAGGGACTCAATTCATTTCTAGATTTTGGAGGAAGTTTTGTTCTGAACTTGGAGTTACATTGTCTTTTTCTTCCTCGTATCACCCCCAGACCAACGGGGCTACTGAAAGGGTTAACCAGTCAATAAAGGGATTTTTGAGATGTTTCATATCACACAATCATGACAACTGGTACGATCTATTGTCTTATGCTGAATTTGCACATAACAACGCTACTCATGATTCTTCCCAGCATAGTCCTTCTTATATCACTAGTGGTAGACATCCTCTTGTTGTGCCCTTGCAGTTTCATGAGACTGGTTTACCTGCTCTTGATTGCCACCTCCACGATCTTCAAGAGAGGTGAAAGCACGTGCAGCGTGCTTTGTCTTTGGCCTCCTCTCGTCAGAAGGTCTGTGCTGACAAACGTCGCTCTATGGCACCTAATTATGTTGTTGGAGATAAGGTCTGGTTTTCCACTCGCAACATCCGGTTGAAAGTTCCGACCATGAAGTTGGCACCCAGGTTCATCGGCCCATATGTGATCTCCAGGAAAATTAATCCTGTGTCTTAAGCTTTGGCGCTGCCTCCGGCATTGCGTATCCCCCATGTATCCCTGCTTAAACCTTTGTTGTGCAATCGCTACGCTAGGCGCTCATTCCGTCTTTCACCTGTGTCAGTTCATGGCCAGGAGGAGTATGAGATCCAGGCGATTGTAGACTCTAGATGGTCGCAGGGTGTGTTGCAGTGTTTAATCCATTAGAAGGGTTCCTGCCCCCAACGTTCATGCTGCTCACTTGCTGCGCGCTTTTCATGTCCGGTTTCCCGATAAGCCGGCTCCTTCCCACCCAGTGGGCGGTTCTCGGGGAGGGGGTACTGTCACGCTGCCCGTGTATCGCTACAGCGGTATTCCCACAAACTAAGGGGAATAATGCCAAACACTCACTGGAGGTGACCTCTCCTCTCTCAGCAGCCTGGTCTGTATCATTAAGGACGCCGCCCACTGCAGCTGTGAATAATTTAAGGGTTTCCTGTTTAACCCTTAAAGGGCCAGATCAATTAATTTAATATGGGTGTATTATACACATAAGCTTGATCACATGTTTCCCTACAGCCTATCAGGAAATACCTTTAGCTATTTAAACCTAGTTTGTCCATTTCTCTGTGCCCTTTCGTGGTTTCCAGTTGGTTATCCAAGAGCCCGTTCCTTGTATTGATTTTTTGTGTATCTTACCTTGGCTTCCCTTATTGACTGTCCGATATCTGTATTCCTTGACTTTTGGCTTGGCTCCTGACTATTCTGATATCTCCATTCCTTGACCTTTGGCTTGTTTATCGTTTGCGTTATACCTTTGTCTTGGCTTTT